CCCCAAAACCCCAAAACCCCAAAACCCCAAAACCCCAAAACCCCAAAACCCCTATTAAAAAAATTTTGCTGATGATAGTTATAAATAATAAAAATGAAGCTAGTTTTATTAGCAATCTTGTTGGCTTTCTCATTAGCTAACCAAATGACCCGTGAAGACGGTAAATTCCACTTTGAGACTGACTCTAACCCAGAGTCCCCAATTGGTTTCACCGTCAAGGGAAGTTTGAACCCAGATGATGAATCTGAATCTAACGTTGGGACTTTCTTCAGACTTGCTGAACAACTGATTCCTCTTGCTCAATCTTCCTTGAGTGACGAAAATAAGTCAAACAGCTTGCAATTCTACAGAAGATGGTGCTTCATTGGAGGTGGACTTGGTGATGCCATCACTGTTTGTGCATATGCTAACGCTGAATTGTGGATCGGATGGGAAGTCGATCATGATGGAGGTCTCGGACTCTACAACGTAACTTACACACCATTCTCTTACTTGAGAGGAGGAGTCAATGTTTCAGCCGCTTCTTACCCAGCTGAAGTATCTTACGGAGGATATCTTTCTGCTTATGATATCAGAGTTCCAATCAATCTTCTTCTTTCAGATACCCAGATCTGTTGGAGTGGAGATTTCCATCTCTTCGCTACCTCAGCTTTCACTGCTATCAACACCAACCTCTTGCAATGCCAGAGATCCATCCCAGACTGGACTCCATGGGACTGTGATAGAGTTCACGGAGTAGAATTCCAACATCTCTACTTCCCAATTTTGGACAGTATCTTCATCGATCTGTTGCCATTTGATTGTTTGACCTTTTAACTTTGTTACACGCTAATTTCTCTTCTGGGTTCTTTTGGGGTTCATTTCTCTTCGATATCTCCACCAAGCAGGAGGTATTAATTTAGTCCAAATAAGGTACTGAAAACTTGTCCAAATTTCTGCAATTACAACAATTCCTAACAAGCCAAAGAAGGGTACTAGATATTGAGTTCAATACTAATAAGCTCATAAGGGGTTTTGGGGTTTTGGGGTTTTGGGGTTTTGGGG